TGAATGATTTTGTTTATTTGATATTTTGTAATATTATGATTATGATATAGTTTCATTTTATATTTAATTTTTATTATAAAAATTGTTTCTAAAATTTTGATATATAGTTTAATTTTAATATTTTAATTTTGGATATAATATTCTGAATTTAATTTTTACTATAAAAATTGTTTTTAAAATTAAAGGTTTATTTTGAGTATATATAATATTTTCATTTTTATGTATTTTAAGTTTAATTTATTACTATAATTATATTTTATAAATAATTTTAGTCATTTATTTATTTAAAATACATAGACTTATTTAGATCCGCCATTGGTTATAGTTTGTGTTACTGGATTTAAGGGGCAACAGTTGTTCTACCGTCGGGACATAAAACTTAGGGCGGCACTTGAGACAGTCATGAACTTATTTGTAGGACGGCTTAATGATAACAGTCGTAATATTTAATATTTTTTAAAAAATATAAGGACGGAAGGTGTATACTGTCGTGAAACGCGTCTCTATATTAGAGTTACGACAGTTATCAAGTAACTGTCGCAATTTTTGTGTCGTAAAACTCTAATTTTCTTGTAGTGGGATTCCTTGTGTGCCAAGCTATTGTAGGGTATATAATTGCTTTGGTTATTGTGTATGAACTGTTGTGTTCATTGTGTCACTCAAAGCTTTTAAGCAAGAGTGTGTCTCACTTGATCAAAGCTGTGAAGCAAGATCATGGTGTGTTTTTGGAGTGTATCTCCACAACTATTTTGTATTTGTGTACTGATATCACTGTGATGTGATTGAGGGGGAGTGAGTGGGTATACTCAGGTCTAGAGTGTCTCTAGGTTGAAGTGTCATTGGGTAGAGATTAAGTGAGAAGTGCAAACTGGTTGTTTGACTTTGAATTGATTCTGCTAATAGTGAATTTCCTCCCTGGCTTGGTAGCCCCCAGATGTAGGTGATGTTGCACCGAACTGGGTAAACAATTACTGTGTTATTTATCTTTCAGCATTTACAATTCTGCACCATTTAATTGTTTAGATAAATAGTCTGTCAGTATGCAGATGTCACAACAGAGGTTATGACGTTGGTCACGACATTGGCATAATTTAAAGAAATTTAAATTATTCATGATCTGTCCTCGTCCTTGTTTCAGCTGAGATCAATGTTCTTGGGACATCTGAAATCTGCATACCAGAATTTCAAATTAGAACTTTAAGATAGAGTTTGTTAACTCTATGTAAGAATCATTGTCGTGATTACTTACTCCCCTCTTGACTTTTGTAAAAGTCAATCCCCTTGAGTGTACAACTTAGAATAAAGAGTTTTGTTAAACTCTATACAAACATTGTTATGTTTGTTCTCCTCCAAAATCTTGATCGTTATCAAGAGTTCCTCATCCTCAGTGAGGTGAACTACGATTGCTCTGATTCTATCCTAGTTAGGATATGTAGGCAGAAGATGCAATATCTTTGCGAGCAAACTTAGAAACTATCCTTAGGTTTGTATCTCATTCTCACCCTAACCCTAATCTCAAGCCATAGCATAACTATAGAAACTTAGCATACAAACATATAAAAGGTTCCTGTTGAGTACTGTAGATGTTTAGGATACGAAATACCTACCCTAGGCATAACCAACCCCCGATCCCCGATATCTTAGCATTGTTGTTACATCGCACAAAAGGTCTTTCTTTCTTTAACCTTTCCTTTGGATAAATCAAAATCCGGTTGTGAATTTAATAAATTAAGATTCAAGTTAATCAATAGCTCGACATCTGATTCTCACCGCAACAACCCCTGGACACATTTTTAATTAATCCCTGAACACATTTTGAATTCAAGATAGTGTGTTTATTTACCTTGTATTAGTGGATAATACATAAGTTAACTTCTAAAATTTCTAAGCAAAAAAATGAATATAACACCATCTTGTATGTACTCTTAATTTCATGATCATGTCACTATACTTCCAAAATCCTACAAAAACCTCCTTTCATTCTCTCAAATTTTGTACTTCAAACCCACATTCTTCTATTTTTTTTCTATGAGCAAAAGAAGTAAAAATTTAAGGTAATGTACATGAAATTTAAGGTAAAGAACTTCTTTATGCAATTCATGCATCTCTTATTCGTTGTGTAAGCAATCCGACATCAGAGGAAAAATTGACGTTCTTTTCTGAAATGGGTAATCTTATAGCAAATGCATATAATATGGTGGGTATTAATGTGACAAAATTGATGTGGTTTTCGATTTGGTGGTGAGATTTGAGGCTTGTTCTTGGTTATTGGGGTGATGAGGTTAACTGGTTTGACATTAGCTTTTCGTGTAAATTGGGGAGTGGAAACTCAATTGATTTCTAGAATTATTAATGGTATGGTGCTATCACAATTCGTGATCAATTCTCTTCCCCGTTTCAGGCTTTGTTAGCTCCTAAAATTTGAGTGGCAGATGCAGGTCAATGGGTAGAGAATGAATGGAGGTGGAATTTGGGTTTTCATCATAACAGGCTATATGTTGCTACTGCTAATGATCTTCAGGAGCTGAAATCGATTATGCTTGATAGGTTTCCAAATTCTGAGTTGGTGGATTCATTTACATGGTGGTCGGACACTGGAAATTTTTCTGTTAGAAATGTTGCGACAAGACAAGACTGACTTCTCTAGTTTTTTTAGGTTCAGAGCTCGATGTGGAAATTGACCTGAACCTTGAGCTGCTTAGGATTTCCTTCCTACCTAGCAATATTAAATTCTTTGCATGGAGGTTATTTCTTGACAGGTTACAATTGCGCAATCAATTAGGCAAGAGATATATAATAAGTGGTCATCATGATCTTGTCTGTCTGATATGTATAGGACCAAATGAGAAACTCCTTCACCTCTTCTTGTGTTGTCCGATTGCAGTTTTGGTTTGGCAGCATTTTTCGTTGTGGCTACGAGTATATTTTCCTCTGTCGGCGCTATCATTATCTGAACATTTGCAGAAGTTCATTCTTTTGATTAAGTCAAAAGTTAGTAAGAAATTTAGTTTTTTTTTTGGCTTGTTACTGTTTGGTCCATCTGGTTGGTAAGGAATGATACTCTTTTTAGGGGAGGTCACAAAGGTAGTTTAGAGGCGTTTATTTTGGCTAAAAATCTTTCGTGGGACTGGTTTGAGCTTTCTTTTAAGGGGCGATGAGTTGTAATAAGTAAATTTGGTTTGATAATCTATTACCTTTTTTTTGCGTTAATTCGTTGTAACCCATCTGTTTTTTCGGGTTTGTCTTTTTGAATATGGGTTGAGTATACCTTTTACTCCTTTATAAACAATCTCTTACTTATCAAAAAAAATTAATAAAATATAATTTCTCGAAAATATTATTTTCATTTTGGAGTGGTCCACTTCAAAATCCAACTGAACGTATTTGGTGACTTTTAAAATCACTACATTTTGTTCAAGTTTATTTAAAATTGGGATGTCATATACCACGTATATCCTTGGATTACTGGAGTAGACAACTCATTCCACAAAGAAAGCTAAAACTTGGTTAGATAACTTTTTGCATAGGATGGAAAAATTCACCAAGTTGAATGAGATTGAAAGAGAATCAAATAAGTAAAAGTCATAAGCGGAATCACCCATAAATATAGATTTAGGCGGTGACACATGTTTTGGTGCATTTTAATTTTTATCTAACAATATATTTAGGCGGTGACTAATATTTTGTATTTAATTGTTGGATTTTTATTGTCAATACAGTATAATATAGATACATTTTAATAAATTTTAATGTATATCTAACATTAATTATATAAATATTAATTGTAAAATTTTCTATAATAATGAAAAAAAATTATGTGTCGATAAAATATCATGTCAAAATAGTTTTTCAAAATAACTACTAACATAGTTAAATTCAAAATTTAAGTTCCGACAACTTTTTTTCTTGTGTTTTCATGTAAATGGTTTAATTCAAAATTCAAGTTTTAGAATCTTATTTGGGACAAGATTGAATTTCTAAAATTCACCTTGATCTAAAACTTGTATAAATATTGGTGTCCTCATGTTATTAACAAAATCACCACAAAATATTTATTTGTATCTCATATTGTCTACTTTACTACTTTAATGACAAGAGGTGCCCTATTAAATTTAGGTTAAGATAGATCACTCACCATGTCAATCTGAAATTCATATTAGAAAATCTTTTGTGATACCTAATTTATATTAGAGAATCTTTTGATACTCAAACAATCAAAAAATTGTAAAACTCTATTATCTTTCACATTTGATTGACAACAAAGAAAAAATACAATTCAATAAATTTGAACTAATGACAAATGAAAATTTAACTATCAAATGAAATACATTTAACTTATGGATATTTTCAGCCATTTACTAGCCTGAGTGTGAGATTTGAATGTTGTTGCATTTTGAAAGCGTCTGGAGCTTAACTTTTGAATTTTAAGGATTTTATTGATTTTAAAGAGAAAAGTGAATAGAATAAAAAAAAATAGAGAGTAAGTGTGTAAGAGGGAAAAATACAAAAAAAAAAAAAAAAAAAAAAAAAATCAAAGTGAAAAACAATAAGTTGAAAAACGCATCTCAAAAACCTGAAAATAATCTGGCATACAATTTCCTCCAAGTAGATTCAGCAGTCCATACAAATAGCAGATGGTTATGTTTATATGTGACTATGTGTAATAATGACAAAAACTAGCTCCTAGCCATTAATAGCATCTCAACCTTCAACTTCTTGAGAAGTATGTTTATCATGCTTCAATCATTGCTTTCATCTAAACAATCTGTAATTTATATAATGTTGCACTTAACAGGTAAAAATTTCAGAAATCTGACGGCATCAAGAGGACACAAGGCATAGCACAAGAAACACAACCTTATAACGGTTTTAAAGCACACATTCAAAATGCCAAAGTCGAGAGTACAAGAAGGAAATGCGGGTGAAATCAATTTTCTCCAGATTTGCAACCAAAGTAACTATTAATACAATGCCAAGAAGGGAAGAAAAAAGGAAGAGACCTAAGTGAAGTAAATAGGCCAATTGAAGTAGTATGAATCTCGGTGGGACTTGTCCCATGTCTTGTTCCACTGCATCAACACAAAGTTTTATACAGTTTAATAAAGCAGAAGGTAAAAATAGTTTTAGCTATATTGGGCTGAACTATCGAGAAAAAAATAGGCAGTAGAGGGAGGTAAAATATCATACCAAGAACTCATATGGCTGGTTCTTCTTCATCGCTCTTTTCCAGTGATATTGCTCATATAGCATTGCCCTATCATGCCAGCTGCGCATTGAAGTATCTTAGATTAAGAGTAAAGGACTTGGTGCAAAAACAAATTCACCGAGCAAAATCATAACTAGGGGGAAATTGTGTCAGACTACCAAATCTCACAAGCAGGAGGGGGAAAAACCAAGAAGAAAGATAAGACACAAGTACATAATTGAATGATACACATATTGAGCATTATAATGAACCTCCATATCAAGTCATTGCTTTAGATTCGCGCCATAAATAAGCTTAGACCTCAATATCAATTAAACCATTTCAAACTCTTGAACTAAAAAACCGTGTGCACTTTGAAACCATATAACTTCTAAATAATTATTTTTCCATATGAATAAACATATGCAATAACATCATTTCAGTTACAAATATGACAAATTGAGTGAATAAACATATGTTTGGTTTTGCGGCAAAAACAATTGATTTTGAGTGAATTGGCTCTGGCTAAAAGTGAGTTTAAGATAAAGTGATTTATATTTGAATAAATTCTGAAAAAGTGAATTGAACTGTAAAATTTCAGTGTAAAGCTACGGAGTTTAACTCCGAGAAGAATCAATTCTACTCGAAAGCAACAAAACATATCAGAATCAAGTCTACACATTCAAAATCAATTATGGATACTCCAAACTGAAACCGAACATACACAACAATTTAATACCTAAAATTTGGGTGAATGAATACCTAATTAACTGTTTAATCAAATAAAAATTAAACATAAACAGTTGTATGATATCGTGCAAATGAAGAGAAAACCCTAAAATTAGAGTAAGTAAGTTGAGTTTAACAAACTGAATGAACGGAAAAGAGAAAGAGAAGAGAGTGATACTTGAAGGTAGTGGAGCCAGTCTGCCAAAAGTAGGGATTGGTGCAGTTGGAGGCGGTGAGGAGAAGGGAACCGATCCAGATGTTGACGAAACGGCAGGGGTCGGCATGGGGCACGCCCGGGTCGCCGCGATAAGCAGAACTGAAATACTTGTCCATTCTTTCTCTCTTCGGTTTCTCACAGTTATGTTCTCTTCTCTTATCCACTTCTATGTAAACCACTACGCTGATGATAATTTGCATTTACGACGTCGTTTTAAATTTTTGCGGGGGACATAAATATTTCAGATTTAGTACTCAGTAAATTAAAATTCAATATTCTAAATAAAATTAATCTTATTGTTATATCAAGAGAAAAACTTTAATTTTATTAATTTCAGTTTTTATGATTGGTTCAACTCTCCAATCAATTGTTGTAGGAGAAGGTAATGTGCTTTTTTGAGTAGATTATTCTATTGTTATTTTGATAAGTTTCGATTACTTGATATTTCATATAGTTTATTGAAAAAATTGACTCGATTGATTTAATTTCATTTTTACGAAAAAGTTACTGATAGAGATAAGTTTGATAAATTTGATATCTAATATGAAGACATACAAATTTGATATCCGGTTAGAAGTTGCTCTGAGAACAATCGTCTCATCTAAAACTTAGGTTCAAAAGCAGAACAAAATGAAGTCTTTAAATACAAGGACGTTTTAAAGATAAAGAATTAAAAAATTGATATGACAAGAAGTTCAAATGTGGAGATAATTATCGCAAAAGTATATCGTAATCAAGATTAAGGAGTTTATTTCTTTCATTAATTGTCCATAAGATGCAAAAACATCTGCACTATTAGAATTCAAAGTCTTTGAGGCATTGTATATGAAATATGTTATTTTAATTTAATTATACAAGTCATACCATTATAATTATTCTTAGTTTTTACGTAACATTTTGCAGTTGTGATTTCGTTTATCCGTATGTACTAGTAGATCTTAGTGAATCATTTTGATTATTGATTCCATTAAACATGCTGGAGTCATTGTTTTTGTGACTTTCGAATAAACATACAGTTTAGTTTTAACAGCTTATTCTTCCCAACGCAGCTTACAACATATTTACAGCCTAACAAGGCTCAAGCAACTTTTTACCTAGAAAGTAAAGTTCAGTCGCTTTTATTTTGGACATAACCATTCTTTTTGCCCAAAAAGTTAATTCAAGGTTTAAGTAAATAAATAAATGGCTATAGTAGTAATAGTAACATCCCATCCAAATTATAGACAGGTGTCCATTACAAAAAAGTGAATTATGAAGCTACAAAAGAAAGCTGCAAAAACTAGTACATTAACCAATAGAGATATCAAATGTTTAAAATAAAAATAAAAATAAAAACTCAATTGCCCAGAATGCTTAATCCAATTATAGAAAGGTCTTCAATGTCTCAACTTCTCATTCATTTCAACAGGAAAAATTTTGCCTCGATGGTTGAAGATCATGAAGTCTAAGTTAGAATGTAAAGAAACAATCCTGCATCCAAAGTAACAAACATCAGTGATTGGGATTTGGGATCCAATTAATTCCATAACAAGTCAGATAGATAGTAAAAATAGACTAATTACTACATCACGAGGTTCCACATTTCAGTATGAACAGAGTACAACCACCAACCAGGGAGAACAATTGCAAAGTTTTGGATTTTGGAGTTTGGACTCTGCTGTTAACATCCTCTAGAATGTAATGTTTTATCATAAACATCATAAACATCGCTAACAATTTCAATGTGAAAACAAAAACTTCATAATAACAAAAATAGGCATGTAAGGGTGTCTGAAAATGGGCGTGTGAATATGAAGAGCTTTGAATATTATCAGGCAGCAAGCTTTTATACAAACATATTCATACACTAGACATCATTTGACATATTAATGGAGACTGCAACTAAGGATTATATGACTGACTATGCAGAAAACTTGTTACTGTTTAGTAAAATGCTGTCTCACTTTAATAAAATATATCATATAAGTATGTGGAGGGAGTGATCCATGATTGAATCATTGAAGCTTAAGGCTTCTGGACTCTGGTAATAGAATGATTCTCTTATGAGCAGTTTTCATTGGATATAACTAATTAAAAGTGCAAAATAACATAAAGTTAATTTCAGCATGTCTTTTATGTCGTTTGTAATATTATTTAAAGCATATTGAGATTTTAATTGATTGTGTATACTGTATGCCCATGCAAAAACTATTTCCTGTTTTTTCTTTCTTTTCTATAAGTAGCGCCAAATTGAGTATAGTTGTCAAATACAATTTAGCATCTAACTACAAGAATATGAATAGAAAATATAACAGAAGTGGCTTAATAACATTAAGACTTTGTGTGGGAATCTAGAAGGGAAAGTAGGTGGGGCTTCGGAGGGGAAGGGAGGGGAGGAAGAGAAATGAATGAAGGGAAACCATTCACTTAATTTGGAAGAGTAATTTTAGACAAGATGGAATGAGAATACATACAGCTAATTGTTGGACTTTCCGCCTTAATTGCAGTCCGTCCCTAGCCGCCTTAATTGCGGCACTTTGGTTTGCCTTCATTGCAGCCCCTAACACATTCATTGTGTTGGCTTTGAAGGGGTGGATTTAGTCCCACATTGCTAAGAGATATATGTTTATAAGTGGAGGCAGTCCTCACCTTACAAGCCGGTTTTGTAGGGATGAGTTATGCTCATCCCAAATTCTGAAACCAATATTTTCTTTGATCTGAGAATATTATAAAAGGATGAGAAGGATTGGAAAATTTATTCAAAACCCTCCAAAGTCTTTCCTCGGGGTATTTTTTGAGTTCCTCTATATTATATTAGGGGGTTATGGTCCAATGAAAAATGAATCTCCATGTAACGTGGAGGGCTACTTCCTCATCTCCCTCCCTTTCATCTTCTATTTATCCTCAAAGGCCAAAGCCCTCTCGGAAGGAACACCAACGGCGAAAGCACTCTGCTGGGCCGACACTGACCCTGAGAGACGAAAGCTAGGGATGAGCTCGCTTTGGGAAAAAACGTATTAGTAGCTTATATGCCATGGGAAGGTTACAATTCTGAAGATGTTGTACTCATTAGTGAGCATCTGGCCAAAGCCCTCCCTTCCTTTCCCTTCCCAACTCCCAATCAAAGCCAATGGCAAATTATTGGACCTTGCCAAAGCATTTGAATTATAAAGTGACATAAAACTAGAAAACGAGAACATTTTATTATTAAAGAAAAACAGCTACAATCCCTTCTCCACTGCTTGCTTATATGGAGAAGATATCAGTCTCAAGCAGGGGATTGTACAAGAACAGGCTAGAACTTTGAGGGACTTACTTTCTCTGATCCCAAACCTTACTTACAAATTTCTTACCTTTTCCCACTCCCCACATTATATATTATCCCATTCCCACTACCAAAATAAATTCCTATCACATGGCTAGGTTGTTACACTCGATGTTAGTCAAAATCCCATTCCGAACTATGCACTCTGAACTCACTTCTTTAACTCAACAAAACAATAAATCTAACATCTCAAACATTAAACTATACTTTTTGTCATTAATTCGGTAAAATCAAATCTCCTCAAAAGTAACTCTTCCCACATATTCATGAACTATGTTAATTATACGCATATAGTAAAAAGAGCAACTCAGCATGTCGCAGAGAAGAAGCTATTAGAGAATTAGTTCGCTCAGTTTATATCAACCTCACTTTCCAACCATCTTAACTTCCAAATATTATCCATTTTAATTCCTCAACTATTTCAGCCTTCTGCCATAAAATCCCAAGACAGATTCGATAAGCACCATAACTTGACCACAATACTACCTACCAAGCATAAAAATGGTAAGAGCAGCTTATGTCAGGTATAGAGTAAATCAATATTTCAGTCATCGGAGTGGTAAGGCTCAAACAATTAAACCACTCAAATTCACGATGTAGCAAATCAGTCCCTTAAGTTAACTAACACCAATCAATTTAGCCCTTCTACCGAACTATCTCTTTAGCAAACATCCCCAAAACTAATGAAAGATCTACATGTTGACCTTAACAGTCTCTTGTTGTATCCAGACAAACACTGAACCTTTAAAACTCTGGTGTTAAATTTGAAAAAAGAACCAAAATAACTGATATTGTTCAATTTAGCAGGCAATATTGTTGTTACATAAATTTGAAGGACTAAATTGAACGACCTTTAAAAATTTCAAGGAATAAAATGTTGATTACTCGTCAGTATAACATCAAAAAATAAAAATAAAAGAAAAAAAAAACTCTCATAATCTACCGGGCTGTCTTTGAGGCTGTGCAAAGCTTAAGACATTGTTAAATAGGGCATCTAATTATTTCGTCATGGTTGAAACATGACTAATCTACACAGGACCTCCAAAAACTTAAGACAACTCTGATAGTCTACTCTAGGAAGTGTATCAGCTTTTGCTGGATATGCATACCAACATAGATAATATCAAGCTGCTGGTTCTATAAAATCACTAGAACCTCTTGCAAATAAGCAGTTAGATAACAAAATCAAATCAACCACTAGCATAAATTCAATTCACTAAAATTCAACTATCAAAAAGAGAAACAAGTTATATTTACCTATTCTCTTCAGAATCTGGGTGGATACACAAAAACTTCCCAGGCACAGTCAAAGCAGCCCAAGTACAAAGTAATAATCCTAAAGACAATTCGAACACCACCTACATTTTCAAACTCTCAACACTCAGAAAATTCCATAAACAACAAACCCGAACCAATCTTATATTAGCAAATAATTTTCAACACTCACGCTCAAAGGAGATCCAGAAAACTCTTCTTCAGTAATTTTCAACAAAGCCCTATCTGCAACCAAATCAACCCCAATTTTCAAACAAGTGAGCATCAAATTCAAAACTCAAATTCAAATTCAAACACATCAAATAGAAGAAACATTGATTTTGGCGAGTGGCACGTACATTGGATGGTTGAATAAGCTGCGTGAAATAGAATCAGAACACCGACGAATCCAATAGCAAACCCTAATCCCATTGTTTTTGGTGAAACGGAGAATGATCGACGATTTCGAGGAGGAGTAAATTGACCAATGCACACACGATCGGACAAGTTAACCACAATGGTGATTAGCACGAAGAGCGCACTTAAACTTAAGAACTGTAATTTAGTTCTTAATCAATCGAGTAAAACAGGGTTACTGTTTGGTTAAACCGAGGGGGCACAATTATTAATATATGAAACGGTAAATTTTGGTTAATTTGAAAGAAATACGTTTAATAAATGAATTAAATTAAATTACTTTTATTAAAAAACAATTTACAAAAATATATTTATACTTTGCTTATAGGGTCCATCGTCACTTACTAAGTTCCTATATATACATGGACGCATTTATTAAATCTTATTTAATAAATATGACATTCGTATTCATTTATACTCTTTTGAATATCCCTTAAATAAATATCTATAAATTTAAAAATGCCTACAAATTTCACGTGTATTTATAAATATTTATTAATATTATTATTCTTATAAAATTTTAAAAAATAAATATAATTAATTAAATTTTTTATCCTTTAAAATTAAATTAAAATACTTTTAAATTTAACATATAATAACAATAACAAAAATAAATTATTAAATTACGAGACTAGATTCGACAAAATAATAACAATTTTATATTAAATATAATAATGATAATAATAATAATAATAATAATAATAATAATAATAATAATAATAATAATAATAATAATAATAATAATAGTTTCATATTTAACAAAATAATAACAATAATATAATTTTAGATTAAATAAATTAATATTTAAATAATTTTACTAATTATTAACAAATATAAATATACAAATACGGATATCATAAAATTCATATTTGTGCCGATAAAAAAATTGATAATTAAATATATGTTTATTTTCATAAATACTGAATCCAACCCTTGCTCGTGACGGGTTATATCCGCATGTACTCAATGTACTCACGTATAATTTTTTTTTTGTCCTTTCTAATATCTTAATCATGCTAAATTTTACAAATATATAACATTAAAATAAAAATGAATTTTGATACAAATATATTGAAAAGATTTTTTCAATAAACCATCATATTATTTAAGGTTGATTGAAAAACTCCTTTTTTATTTAATATTTGTATGCTAATATTGCTTTTTTTAGAATTAAACATAAGGGGCTCAAAGGACCGTTTACCGTTTTTTTTTATATTTAAATATAAGACTCTAATGTCTCTTATTATTAGCTTTTATTTAATCAAGAAAAATTATAAATTTTTGGATTTTCGGTGTCTCAGTTGATCTTCATTACATGATTATGATTATTTGGTCTTATAGATGGACTATTCCTTCTATTTGGAGTGGCCCAAATGAATGTGGATTAAGTGTAAGTCTTTGTTATTAAAAAAACAAAGAGACTAGGTCAACATTCCATAAGATGAGAAACAACAAAAGAAAAATTGAGAGAATAGTGAAATTTTCGCAGCCCTAATTCAGCACAGAGCAGTTCTACGATATCAAAGTTTTCTCACAATCCAACCGTCGAATCGTCTTGATTTTTTGTGATAGCGTTCAGAACTCATAGAGGTACACTTTGAATGGTGGAGATTGAATTTTGAGTATTCTAAGTTTATCTGAAGAGCACTTTTGAGGTGTAGTTTTTTGTGGTTGTTTTGGTTGATTGTCTCTCTTGATTCTTGTTATATTCTAAGATTGATTATAGATCTTGATGATGCTGATGTATGCCTCTCACTAGTGTTAGAGAGAATCTTGATTGCACCAATTGTTTGATTATAGTGGAGATTTAAGTAGCCTACGGGTCCCGTGGTTTTTTACTCTTACTTAACGAAGGTTTTTCTACGCTAAAATTGTGTTGTGTTGTTTGATGTGTTTTGTCGATTGTCGTTGCATTTGATATTTGGGAGAGATTGTATTGTTGGATTATTCTGTTGCATTGTGGACTTTTTCTCAATAAGTAGTATCTGGAATCGTAGTTTGCTTTGTGTAACGATGGAGATGAACACATCTAGGATGGTGAGTTTGAATTGATCCAACTATGATGTTTGGAAAGGGAAAATATAAAATTTGCTTTATGTTAAAGGATTTCAATTGCCTGTTTTCTCTAGTGAAATGAAGAATAGGCTTTGTTGCATAGATAAGTTTGTGGTTATATATTCCAATGGGTGAATGATAATGTTTTGAATCATGTGAGCTCGGTGACTCATGCTCGCTCTCTTTTGACCAAACTTGAGGAGCTGCATGCAAGAAAGACGGGGAACAATAAGTTGTTCTTAAACCAATTGATGTCATTGAGGTATAATGATGGTTCATCAATTACCGGTCACTTGAACACTTTCCAAAGGATTATAAATTAATTGTTGGCAATGAATCTTACTTATGATGGTGAAATTCAAGGTTTGTAGCTTCTTGGCGTTATAACAAGATTTGTTCATGACATATATCTCTTGGGTTTTTATGATAACAAAGTGTTAAAATAACAATGGTGTTATCTAATATGTGTTTCAAGTATGCAGGTTCTAAGGCTTGAAAAGAAGGCATTTATAATCTGATATAAGGACGCATCTAAGAGAAGCTAAGTTACTAGCTTCTGGGATCAGAACCTGAAGAACACTCTCTAAGTGATGTCTGGCCTAAACTGTGAAATTGAAGACCTCGGTATCAAAAGAGCAACATATTGTCTCTACACTGAGTTAATGTATCTTCTTCTGGTGAACATTCATAATTAGTAATAAAGCTTGAGTTATCTGTACTGCATAAAGCAAGTTGCATTGTCAAATCAGCTTATCAGCTAGAGTATATTTTTCACAAGGCTCAAGAAGAGTTGACATGCTTTACGAATATATACTATCAACGACTCTATAGTACAATATTACACGGAATACGCAATGGTGAAACATGTTACACAATGGATTAAGATCTTTTGGTGTATCTCTCTTCAACGTCTCTTGTACTATGGAGAAACAAAGACACTTGTTCAAGTTATCTCTTCCAACGTCTAGTCTTCTACAACTGCTATATAAGCTACTGAAGATTCAAACTGAAGTCTTCAATAAGGAGAAATCAAAAGGTAAAATATAGAAGGAAAGCCAAGAAGAATAGAAGTGTTCTACACTTATGTCTGGATGGAGGAATAACAAGATCATACAATAAGTAACACAATTGAGTATGCAAAATTTCTGTTATATATTGTAAATTGTAATGAACCTTAAAATTTGTAAACATTGAATATCTTAGAAATCTTAAGTGCTTAAAGGTCTTTGTTAAGGTGATTACCATGTACCTCTGATTTTGTATCAAGTACACCTTGTTCTTTATTATGCTAAACATGATTATTTAGTAGTTTAGATAAAGTCTCTTGCTATGTGCTTGAGCATCAAAGTCTCTTACTGAGAAGCTTAAGCCAAGTAAGTCTCATGTTATGTGCTAGAGCATTGAAAGTCTTGATCAGTTGTTGATTGAGCATAAAGTTTTGGACTATGAATCTGAGCAGAAAGTCTTGGGCTTGAGCAGAAGTTTTGGGTTCGTGGAACCTGAGCAAGGAACTCTTGAGTTTGTGGAACTTAAGAAAGGAATTCTTGGGCCTGAGAGGCTTGAGCATAAGTCTTGGATTCGTGGAATCTAAGCAGGGAAGCCTTTGACTGAAGGTCTGAGCAGAAGTCTTGGGTCTGAGGGGCTTAAGCAAGGCAGTCTTGGGTTCGTGGAACCTAAGCAGAAGTCTTGGACCTGAGGGGTTTAAGCAGAAAGTCTCGGGCTGAGGGTCTGAGCAAAGAAAAGTCTTATGCTTAAGTGCTTAAGTGCATAAGAGATTGTAATCATATTTTGGTTATAGTGAAAATCTTTTATGATGCAATGGGGTTGGACTACTTTCTTTTTGGAGGAAGCAATATAAATCTTTATGTGTTCTTTATCTTTAATTTACTTCTGTTAACATTTCGTTGCAACGTATAATCAGAATTTGAACACCAATTTAGATTCTGAACTCTAATCAGAGGCAAAGTTAAGAAACGAAAAACACAATTCAACCCAGCCCCCCCCCCCCCCCTCTTATGTATTTTTCTCACCTTCAGTATGTATCAGAGCATGGTCTATGCATAACACTTAACAGTGGTGCAGATGATGATCCAATGAGAAAAACATGTATGTTAAAGACTTTCCTTCAAGAAGGAGTTAAGTACCACAGGAAAAATATTACACTGTTAATCCTACCATATTCAAAAGGTGATTCTTTTGAATTTAAATGACGGATTAAGCAAAATTTATTTTTAATTCACTGGTCTTAATAAAGTGTTTTGGTGAAGGTCTATAAAATACTCTTGAGAAAGGTATTACTATAGAAGTTGATGGTGTAAAGATGATCAAAGTCTGAAAGTCTCTCTCACCAGCTCAGAAGAAGTTTATCGAAAATATCTTTAGAGTTAGATGCATTTTGGTAGGTGCTCTATCTCATTCTGAGTATATCAACATCATTGATATGTCTAATGCTCAAGGCTATCTTTGAATCCTTGTGTTCTTATTTGAAGGGAATCAGGTTGAAGCTTATTAAGTTACACTTCATCTAATTTTCAAGCAAATTCTAAGAAGTCTGCTTGTTAAAATTAAACCATAAAGTCACATCTACTCAGGAAGTCAAAAGTTTGGGTAAACTATGTCTTGAAAGGTTTGATAGCATTCTTCAAAGAAAAGAAATGGAATTAGATGATGAAAAGTTGTCTAACAGATCATCCTTCCTCAAGCATGTTGAAGAAAAGTTCCTTTGGAATGTTTGATGATGTGGAAATAACCTTCCCTATCAAAGGACTCTTTCAACTGGCTGAATGGAATCTGATATCTGTTGATAGAAGAGTAACTTCAAAAGCTTCTGAAATATTCTTATTTCAACTGATTTCCTAAATCTTAAGAATAAGGAGAAATACTACCAGAAAAACTCAAAGAAAAATGTCAGAGATCTTCAAGGTCTATTCTAATAAAGTTGACATAAGTATGGATTCATA